GAAATTAAAGAAAATATGGACTAAGGAATATCCTCAGGAGTACGATGTTAATTTTTCAGAAACTTGGAATTGGAGTATTAATTGGCCTAGTATGTGTTGAATTAACAACAAATGAATGTGTCAACTTAATACCTACACAGCAAATTGTCCGATGATGCATTCATGTCTTAGTCTTTATGTTTTGTGGATAGAGCTAATCCAAAGAAAGTCTCCAAGTTATAAGACATTCGATTCGATAGAAATATAGTTTACTTTGTATGTATGTCAGACGAAAAGAAAACAAAAGGATCTATTGGCTTTAAATTTTCACGATTTACTTACTGCTACAATACATTTATCAGATATGAACAGCATCAAAAGGAAAATTCAAATAAACTTAAAGTGGTTGATAAAGGTCAAGCCAAGAAATACCTAAACATTGAAGTTGATAGTAATTGTACAACAGCAGATATAAGTATACGTTAGAAAAACCATTTAGAAGAATTTTTAGAATATGGAATGATGAAATGTAGAACTGCTTCAACCCCCTTAGATGTAAAATGCCAAATAGTTTCTGATAACAATAATTGTAAAAGAGTTAATTAAAAAATACTAATCGTTAAAAGATTCATAAATGCATTAGGCTATATGCACTTGACTAGATATTTTACACTCTGTGTGTATGTTTTCACAAAATAACTCTAATCCCCGCTATGAACTTTTAACAGCAGTAAGCCGAATCTTAAAATATTTGAGTATGATTCTAGTAATCGAGGAGTAGACTCTAGTACCCGAAAGTCACATACAAGGCGTACGTTTATGTTAGCCGGGGAACATTTTCATTGGAATCTAAGAAGCTGGACACAATGATATTGATTGTTACAGAATCTGAATGTATGGCTATATCTGTAGCGTGTAAAGAAAATTTTTACGAATATTGCTTCTCGAGATTGGATTGTATTGCCTGAGGAAATAGAAATAAATGGAGAAAATTAAAGAGCAACAAATTTAGTCAAGAAGCCAGTGTAGTACAAAATGGCTATATCTGTACCGTGTAAAGAAAATATTTACGAATATTGCTTCTCGAGATTGGATTGTATTGCCTGAGGAAATAGAAATAAATGGAGACAATTAAAGAGCAACAAATTTAGTCAAGAAGCCAGTATATTACAAAAGATTTGTTTGAAAATAGCTTAATAAATTTGAAATATTGTCCAAGTATTGAAAGAAATATAGTTTACTTTGTATGTATGTCAGACGAAAAGGAAACAAAAGGATCTATTGGCTTTAAATTTTCACGATTTACTTACTGCTACAATAAATTTATCAGATATGAACAGCATCAAAAGGAAAATTCAAATAAAGTTAAAGTGGTTGATAAAGGTCAAGCCAAGAAATACCTAAACTCTTAAATTGATAGAAATTGTACAACAGCAGATATAAGTATACGTTAGAAAAACAATTTAGAAGAATTTTTAGAATATGGAATGATGAAATGTAGAACTGCTTCAAACCCCTTAGATGTAAAATACCAAATAGTTTCTGATAACAATAATTGTAAAAGAGTTAATTAAGAGATACCAATCGTTAAAAGATTCATCAATGTATTAGGCTATATGCACTAGACTAGATATTTTACACTCTGTGTGTATGTTTTCACAAAAGAACTCTAATCCTCGCTATGAACTTTTAACAGCAGTAAGCCGAATCTTAAAATATTTGAGTATGATTCTAGTTTTGTAATAACAAAAAGGATAATATCCAAAAAAAATTGCGTAAAAAGGTGATATATTAACATTTTCATTTTGACTTTTGAAATGTACAATAATAATGTTTTATTTTGCCTGATTTTTTCCATTGTGACTTACTTTTTTCTAATGTACATTTGTAGTGTTTTTATACCCTCCACCATACTATGGAGGGTATATTAATTTTGTCATTCCGTTTGTAACTCCTCGAAATATTCATGTCAGACCCAACAAAGTATATATATTCTTGATCAGCGTAAAATTCTAAGACGATTTAGCCATGTCCGTCTGTCTGTCCATCTGTTTGTCTGTCTGTCTGTTGTAATCACGCTATCTTTCGAACAAATTGAAATAGAAGGCTAAAATTTTGCACACATGTATTTTTTTCCAGTAGGCAGGTTAAGTTCGTAAATGGGCCATGTAGGTCCACGTCTTCCTGTAGCCCCCCATATAACGGTACCCCCCGATATTCGGTTTTTTGATGATTTTAGCGACATTGTTTACCGGAATCGTTTCAAATTTGGTATTTGAAGTTCGTACTGGATACTACACCCTAAATCAAAAAATGAGCCATGTAGGTCCACGTCTTCATATAGCCCCCATATAACGGTACCCCCGATATTCGGTATTTTGATAATTTTAGCGACATTGTTTACCGGAATCGTTTCAAATTTGGTATTTGAAGTTCGTAATGGATACTTCATCCAAAGTCAAAGAATGAGTCATGTAGGTCCACGTCTTCATATAGCCCCCATATAACGGTACCCCCCATTTTAATGATTTTAGCGACGTTATTTACAGGGATTGTTTCAAATTTCGCATGTGAAGTTCGTAATGGATACTTCAGCCCATGCCAGAAAATTGTCTGTGCAGGTCCACGTCTTCGTATAGCCCCCATATAACGGTACCCCCCATATTCAGTATTTTGACGATTTTAGCTACATTATAAACAGATTTTTCTTCAAGTTTCGCATTTAAATATTGTAATAATTTATGACAAAAGTTGCCTATGCAGGCCCACGTCGTCGTATAAGCATTCGGTATTTTTAAGATTTTAACAGAATTTTTTAACGGGTTTTATTTTTTGGAAATTGCCAAATTTGTACCAAATGGTGGAGGGTATTAAAAGTTCGGCCCGGCCGAACTTACAGCTTTTTTACTTTTTTATAGTTTATTTTTAAATTCAAATATTATTAACAATTTATTTAATTGACTTTATTTCTAGAGAACTGAAATTGATGTCGGGTTACATGGAAGTGTAGTACCGAATTATGTGGTGGCGAAACGGAATAGATGATATCGAATTAACTTAACGCGATCACACCAAAGTTAAAAGATAATTACTTTTTCAAAATCGCTAAAAAATCACGAAAAAGAGATCTCATTGCAAAAATTCTCGAATCGGGAAAATATCGAATTGAATTTTAAAATAAAAGTACATTCTATTGACAAACTTTGTAAGGATCTTTAAACAGTTGCTGTAAAAAATCAGCGAACAAGTTGAAAATTTTTTCAATTTGTTATTCTTCTTTTGCCAATTTTTTCAAGTTGTATTATCATATTGAATTCAGTGGATTTTTTGTGAACAAAATAAAGAATAATTTTTCACTATGTACAATATTTCACCAAGAAAATAAAATAAGTGGGAAATACGATGTTAACTGACATCTACCTTTCAACTCCAGGGCCTACATCGTGCTTCAGCTGGAAGATGCGCACACATTTAAACAAACAAAAATGACCGAAAAAGACTAATGGGGCTCATTTCAAAGCGTGGACCTACTTCTTTCGTGTGACAATAATCCGTCCAATGAGAGCTCAAAATGCAAACCTTTTTGGGAGTACAATCAGTAAAATACCAAATATAAAGGGTGCAAAATAGTAGAGAGAATGGGACTCTTAGTAAGAAAAGGATTTCTATCCTTGCAGAAATTTATCCCGAACATTCAAGATACGTTAAATCGTTTTTGGAGGTCATGATATCGATCATATATAACCATCGTATGATTTAAGCTATTTTTGGGGTCTTCGCCACCCTCTTCTATTTTTGGCCCTTATTTGGCATCTTTGTTTCTAAGGGGGTAGAGAACTTCTTCGCATAAAATTTGAAATTTTCAGAGTAGGGCCCATATTAGTCTTGACCACATTCATCAATTGGTTTGGCTAAAAAATTGTATCTATGCTACCCTGGGGTAAGGAACCATCATACAGATAATTGCCACATAGGAATTTATTTAAGTTAAGTCCCCACATTGGAGTATCCCTAAGTCCACTTTCACATCTAATGTGTGGTCAGAAAAGAAAATTTTGAATTCTATTGAATTTATAACCCCCAAGAGAATATTGGTTGGGAACGTAAGTTTGGGATGTACATCTATATCAAATAAATTGTGAAAACATGAACAAATTACATATATAAGAAAGTAGTAGTAGCACGGGACCGAATATTTGTTGAATCGTCATTGAATTATACAATGATGAAAAATATGGACTTTGTGGGGTTTTCAATTTACAATTTAAATGACAAATAAAATTAGTTCCCATCTTACGGTAATGGGTGTAAAATAGTAATTATATTTGACTATTCTGAAATCAGTCTGCCCTCAATTAGGAGGTGGATAAAACTATTTTTACTTATTTAAATCACGTGAATTTTTTTTTCAGTTCTGCTATATTTTTGATTTGGTCTCTATTTGTCATCTTTGATTATAAGGGGTAGAAGAAAGTTTTCAATGTAGGTCGATGTTTCGGAGTAGTGCCCATATGAAGGTACCTCCTGATTTTACCATATTTGAAAGGGTTTGGCTAAAAATGTGTATTTGGGGGGTGAAAATCTTACACAAAAATCTCAACATATCTACAAATTTTAGAATTTTCTCCATGTAATAGTACCCCCTCAAGTCCACCTTTTGGCAGACAAACAGACCGACATGGTTAGAGGGACTTATGAGGACTCTAATGCACAATCTTAGGAGCTAATGGGTTTAAAAAAGTAATTGGCTATTCTTAAATCATTCAGTCCATACAGTAAATTGCAAATATATATATATATATATATATATATATATATATATATATATATATATACCGAAGTAGGCATACAAATCGATTCGAAAGGCTGTACAATAATTGCAAGTGTTGGAAACTTCTCTCAAACGAACTTATAATAGCTTCTTCGCGTATTGAAATATGTTAGTTCATTTTAATTCGAGTATCTCAGAAAAAATTAAAAAAGTTTACACACAATAAAAATGTTAGGACTTTAAAACTTACCACTATTTCAGCAAATCCATAATTTTTTGTGTCTTCTACAAACATTTTGTTAAAAACTGATGCATGCTTCCAACATGGATCTGCGGCAAGTATTAACTCATCTAGATTAGATTTGACATCATGTATTTGTAGAGTTTTAATGGGTCCATCCATTTTGCTTAAAATTTCTAAGTGTCCAGATCCCGGTCGAAGTTTTTGAATTTCTATACATTGTTCAAGTGGAATTCTATTTTCATTAACAGCTCTGGAGGTGGATTCTATTCTTCCCAACACCGCATCACATCCAGGTTTAAGACCATATATCCCATTTGCTGCCTAAGAAGCCAAAAAAAAAAACATATATTTAATAAATATACACACAAATGCATAATATAAAAACTTGTTCATTTTTAAATTAAAATTTTACTGGTAAAACAAAAAAAAAGTTATGCAGAAGAATGTCAAGATATAGGTTTTCAAATTTGTATTACCGTTATTGTATTTGTGTTACACTTATATTTCGTAACATGTAAATATTTTATAAGATTAACTAGCTGACCCGGTCCGCGTTGCCGGCCCGCAGTTTCAATCTTTAAAGCATAATAAATCACAGATCTGACTTATGTAGGCGGCACAATTTTGATTATAAGTAATGACGCCATTATAATTACTCCAATTTTGATTATAAGTAATGACTTGATTATGAGTAATGACTCCATGACTAAATATAAATTAATATTCATGGCAAAAATTATAATTTCCGTCGGTTTTAGATATTTTGAATAGCCTGATCTTATTATTCAGCTATAGGCTTTAATTTGAGTGTTAAATACCTATATGATAAAGAACATCTATAATAGCCCCATGTGAAAATTCAGCTCAATTTTTGATGTTGTAAAAAACATTCAAATGAGCTATAATTTGAAATTTGTATTTCCAACGTTTAAAATCCCGTACTGCGTGGTATTCAGTTTTGTCCACCTCATACTTGTCAGAATAGCCAAAGAAATTACTCTTTTGCTCCGATTACCGAAGAGGGGCATTAATTGTTTGTCATTTAAATTGTGCGGTGGAGATCCAATAAAGTTACTTTATAATTTCGTATTTTTTCATGTTTCTGCCACAATTTCCGACTGAATGAGTCCCAGATTGACATTTCGGAGTTTATTTCATATAGACGTACAACCAAATCTACGTTCCCAACCAATATTCTCTTGGGGGTTACAAAATAAATAGAATACCAAATTTTCTTTTCTGACCACACATTGGTTGGAAAAGTGGACTTGGGGGTATACTAATGTGGGGACTATACTTAAATAAATTCCTATGAGGATAATTATCTGTAAGATGATCTTCTACCCCAGGTAGCCTCAAGACTAAGATGCGCACTTTTCCGAAAAATAAAAATTTATAAGAAGAGGTTTTCTTCCCCCTTTGGTGATACCAAAACGTGATAACTTTTTGCAAAGATGGTTTCTTCTTAAATTATCAACATAAGCTAAAATTAGTACGAAAAATATGGTTAAATTGTAGAATATACTTGAAATCGTGTTGTTCCGTTATCAGGGGTTATGATCCATATCATGACCTGCCAAAGCGTTAAAGGTATCTTGAATGTTTAGGTAGAATTTCTATTTTGCGTTCTTTATAGTCGGTATTTGACTGATTGCAGTCCCAATGTATTTTGCATTTTGTGTTCTCATTTGACAATTTATTGTCATATGAAAGAAGCAGATTCACTTTTTGAAATTAACCCCATAACGCTTCTTTGGTCATTTTTTTGTCGGTAGAATGTACTATTATTTTGAAATTCGATTCCATTGAAAAATTGTCGATTTTTCCCGATTTTAGAATTTTCATATAAAGCGACAACGGATAAAATTGTTATTTATAGATTTTATGTATTTACTAGCTGACCCGGTCCGCGTTGCCGGTCCGCAGTTTCAATCTTTAAAGCATAATAAATCACAGATCTGACTTATGTAGGCGGCACAATTTTGATTATAAGTAATGACGCCATTATAATTACTCCAATTTTGATTATAAGTAATGACTTGATTATGAGTAATGACTCCATGACTAAATATAAATTAATATTCATGGCAAAAATTATAATTTCCGTCGGTTTTAGATATTTTGAATAGCCTGATCTTATTATTCAGCTATAGGCTTTAATTTGAGTGTTAAATACCTATATGATAAAGAACATCTATAATAGCCCCATGTGAAAATTCAGCTCAATTTTTGATGTTGTAAAAAACATTCAAATGAGCTATAATTTGAAATTTGTATTTCCAACGTTTAAAATCCCGTACTGCGTGGTATTCAGTTTTGTCCACCTCATACTTGTCAGAATAGCCAAAGAAATTACTCTTTTGCTCCGATTACCGAAGAGGGGCATTAATTGTTTGTCATTTAAATTGTGCGGTGGAGATCCAATAAAGTTACTTTATAATTTCGTATTTTTTCATGTTTCTGCCACAATTTCCGACTGAATGAGTCCCAGATTGACATTTCGGAGTTTATTTCATATAGACGTACAACCAAATCTACGTTCCCAACCAATATTCTCTTGGGGGTTACAAAATAAATAGAATACCAAATTTTCTTTTCTGACCACACATTGGTTGGAAAAGTGGACTTGGGGGTATACTAATGTGGGGACTATACTTAAATAAATTCCTATGAGGATAATTATCTGTAAGATGATCTTCTACCCCAGGTAGCCTCAAGACTAAGATGCGCACTTTTCCGAAAAATAAAAATTTATAAGAAGAGGTTTTCTTCCCCCTTTGGTGATACCAAAACGTGATAACTTTTTGCAAAGATGGTTTCTTCTTAAATTATCAACATAAGCTAAAATTAGTACGAAAAATATGGTTAAATTGTAGAATATACTTGAAATCGTGTTGTTCCGTTATCAGGGGTTATGATCCATATCATGACCTGCCAAAGCGTTAAAGGTATCTTGAATGTTTAGGTAGAATTTCTATTTTGCGTTCTTTATAGTCGGTATTTGACTGATTGCAGTCCCAATGTATTTTGCATTTTGTGTTCTCATTTGACAATTTATTGTCATATGAAAGAAGCAGATTCACTTTTTGAAATTAACCCCATAACGCTTCTTTGGTCATTTTTTGTCGGTAGAATGTACTATTATTTTGAAATTCGATTCCATTGAAAAATTGTCGATTTTTCCCGATTTTAGAATTTTCATATAAAGCGACAACGGATAAAATTGTTATTTATAGATTTTATGTATTTATTGGGTATTACGAATAAATACATAAAATCTATAAATAACAGTTTTATCCGTTGTGGCTTTATACTACCCAAAAAACCTACACATAATATTAGAATTCAAAAAAAAAAAATGGAAAAAATATGCAATATAAAACATTACTATTGTACATTTTAAAAGTCAAAATGAAAATGTTCAAATTTCACATTTTTACGCGATTTTTTTGAATTTTATTCCTTACGGCCAAGAGGCAAATCCGAATTTGTCTAAATTGTTAAAATTAGACCGGCGGTCTTTATGTTATAAGAGTAGTAACTAACACAACTTTCTTCTACATATAGAGAGATAGATTTAAAAGTAGGCGCGTTTCCCAGCCCCTAAATAAGTACTTAGGGTAGGATGGAAAGCCAACAGCATCTCGTGTAATAATTCTCAAACCGATATCTTCACTATTTTGGCAAATATAAAGATTTTAGATAAATCGTAATAGTGGGCGTAAAAGGAGGCGTGGTCAATATTTTTTTCTTTAAAACCTAACTCGGGGTATGACGAACGTTTGTACAAAAAATTATGCAAATCGGTCCAGCCGTTTCCAACTGATTCCGTTACCAACAAACAAAATTTGATTTTTATATATATAGATTGGGTATTACGAATAAATACATAAAATCTATAAATAACAGTTTTATCCGTTGTGGCTTTATACTACCCAAAAAACCTACACATAATATTAGAATTCAAAAAAAAAAAACACTACAAATGTACATTCGAAAATAGTAAGTCAAAATGGAAAAAATATGCAATATAAAACATTACTATTGTACATTTTAAAAGTCAAAATGAAAATGTTCAAATTTCACATTTTTACGCGATTTTTTTGAATTTTATTCCTTACGGCCAAGAGGCAAATCCGAATTTGTCTAAATCGTTAAAATTAGACCGGCGGTCTTTATGTTATAAGAGTAGTAACTAACACAACTTTCTTCTACATATAGAGAGATAGATTTAAAAGTAGGCGCGTTTCCCAGCCCCTAAATAAGTACTTAGGGTAGGATGGAAAGCCAACAGCATCTCGTGTAATAATTCTCAAACCGATATCTTCACTATTTTGGCAAATATAAAGATTTTAGATAAATCGTAATAGTGGGCGTAAAAGGAGGCGTGGTCAGTATTTTTTTCTTTAAAACCTAACTCGGGGTATGACGAACGTTTGTACAAAAAATTATGCAAATCGGTCCAGCCGTTTCCAACTGATTCCGTTACCAACAAACAAAATTTGATTTTTATATATATAGATAGAAGAAGAAGATAAGCAACTAACAATTTTAGGGACGTAGCAGGAAAATTAACAAATTTAAGCCATCAAGCCAAAACACTTGTATCGCAGGTAAGTTGTCCTCACGACCCGACTTAGTCAAACCGCTTAAAAACGAGTTTATGATGGGTGATATTGCAAATGTAATCTGAAACGCTAAGTCATCCAAAGCATTGGGCCCAGACGGAATGGAAATGCTGAGAAACGTTCTCAACTAGTTGCTAGCCACCCACGTTGTTTCCGAAGCCTGAAGATGGGTTGGCCGGTCCTGCTACTGAAGCCAAAAAAGCATGTCAGAAAAGGCGAATAATATAGGGCACAGAACGTGTCATAGAACAATGTTGGTACCTCTCGACCTATCAAAGGCGTTTGCTACAGTTTAAAACGTTGGATAGTCAACTGTATGTATGGACGTTGTTCATACGTGAAATACCATAACAAGAAGGTCAAAATCCGTACCATGAGGCTTATTACCTACTTTCACTTTTTACCACCACATCGCCTGCGGAGATGTGAACATAGAATTTCGCCCCCAGCTTGAGTGTGTTTTTCGTATTAAACGTTTTGTATTAAATTTCCATAGATTTACTCACGTCGTGAGAGATAGTATTGAGCATTTGAATTTCATTTCGAATGACAATACGACCTATGTATTGTGCAAAAGAACGTACAATGAAAGATTTGGTATTAAAACATTCTGTTTTTCTGATGCCATAAGCTTCAGTGTACTCTAAGTAATCGGATCACGTTCTGATCCATCCGAACACATCTTCACAGGCC